GAGAGAGAGAAGCCTTCAACATCAAGACAGAGAAGGTAAGGGTAAAATCCAGCTAGCAATGACTGGGGTGGCTCACCCACCATAAATCCACCTCCCTCTCCTTTTTAGCCTCTGTTGCCTTCCCTTCCTCCTCTCCTTTCAAACTCAATTCCCCTTCTCTCCTCTCCTCTCCTCTCTTCTCCTCCTCCGCTCTGTGCCACTAACTAAGGTACACATACGTACACTACCCCTTCCGCCATTGTTCCTTCCAATTCTTTGCTTTTCATTTTCTGTAGCGATTACTCATCTTGTTTTCTCTGGCTCTGCATTTTGAAATTTTGAGTGTCGGCAGCGTAATAGAACCGATACTTTTTCTCACAATATAACTCTAGCAGTTTATTTTCCGAAGAAATGAGAAAATTAGAAAACCCATTATTCTCCACCTAAACTTTTTTCCATTTTTTTGTAATTAGTCAAGTTTCTGGAACTCAGGCTTTTTTTTTTCTTTCTTTTTTTTTCTTATTAATTAAGCAAAGGACTTCCGGAATTCCCTCCGGTAATTTAGAAAAGCAGAAGACTTCTTGTAGAATTGTGTCAAATACAGTACAGCCCTTTGAATCTTTTTTCTTTTTTTTTTTCTTTTCTTTTTTATATAAAAAGGCTTTCAAGTGTACTCATGGTTTTCTTATTGTTAATTTTTTGCAGGTTTTTTCCTAGAAAATTCTATTCAATTTTCCCGGAATTCACCTTCACTTTCTTAGAAAATATAGCTCAGAATTCATTCACTCACACAAGGTTTGATTCACGATTTACCTTCTATTAATTAATTTTTTTCCCAAATTTTGCAATTTTATGAATAAATCAAATTTATGGTAGGGTCCCATCTCGCACTCCATAATCTGTCGGTTGCACAGATTTTAATATTTCACCTTAAAAAAAAATTTTTTTATCGAAAAAATCAATTTTCTTGCATCATTATCTTTATTTTAATTTCAAATTCAATTTTCTAAGGCATGCGCCGCGGGTTCAATAATTCTTCACAATTTTCAAAAAAAAACCCCCCTTTTTTCCCGTCCTTTTCGGTGGGCGGGGATACGCTCCGCCGGCGGAATGAGTAATGGCTAACGTCTTATTTTCTTGTCTTCTTTCTTATTTTCGCAGTTTGTGTAGTCACAATAATGGGACCGAACTTCGCCGACGACTTAGACTGCTGCGGTTTCTTCGACCAAATCGATGACCTGCTCGACTTCCCCAACGAGGACGTCGTCGATGCCGGCTTTGCCGCTGCTGATTGCGCCGCCTTTCCGAGCATTTGGACCGATCAGTCCGAGTCGCTTCCCGGTTCTGATTCCGTCTTCTCCAATAATAGCAACTCAGACCTCTCCGCTGAAATCTCCGTTCCGGTGAGTATCTGGATTCCGTTGAAGACTTTTCTGATTATTTAATTGCGTAATCATTTCTTCAATCACGTGATTATGTCTAATTAATTAATTATCTATTTCATTTTTTTGACAGTATGAAGAAATTGTTCATCTGGAATGGCTATCGAATTTTGTTGATGATTCCTTCTCTGGAGGAAGCTTGACGATTAACAATAAGGAGGATTCATCCCACCACCGGTTCCAGAGTTCCAGTCCAGTTTCGGTCCTTGAAAGCAGCAGCTCCTGCTTGGTGGAGAAGACAGAAATCGAAACCGCCCCTCGCAGCCCGGAAACAGTTGCTGCCGGAAAACGTGGACGTGCTCGTAGCAAGCGTCCCCGTCCGGCGACTTTTAATCCTCGCCCAAGTCAACTTATCTCCTCCAGTTCCTCAGTGAATGAGAATGACCCTGCCGCCGCCCAACAGTTGCTTCCCCCTAAGGTTCCATCTGATTCTGAGAATTATGCAGAGTCTCGACTTCTGATCAAAATTCCAAGGCAATTTAATCTGGAACATAAGAAGAAGAAGAAAATGAAGATGACTAATCCATCTGCTTCCACTTCTGTGGATGCTAACCAGAATCCACCGGCTCAAGCTGTTAGGAAATGTATGCATTGTGAGATAACAAAGACACCTCAATGGAGGGCAGGTCCAATGGGGCCAAAAACCCTTTGCAATGCTTGTGGAGTGCGGCACAAGTCCGGCAGACTCTTCCCGGAGTACCGACCTGCTGCAAGTCCAACTTTTATTCCATCCATTCACTCCAATTCCCACAAGAAGGTGCTCGAGATGAGGAGCAAAATTTGCACCTCATCTGCAATGGTGGACAACCCTCCCGAGTTGATCCCAAATAAAAGCAATCCCGCTTTGGACTACATCTGAGGAGAGAACACTCAAATCCCATTTGGCGTCTCTGTTTCCCTCACCTTTTTTTTCCTTAATTATCATATTTCTTTGTTCATTGGTTTTTTGTACAGGGTTGAAATGAGGGAAGAATAGGATGAATTAGATTGAGCAGCATTTTAGCTATATGGTAGAGAGGGAAAAGAGAATTGAGAAAAAAATGAAAAATGGGTAGAGAAATTTGAAGGGTAGCAAAGATTGTAGGCTTTAGAAATGGAGTAGGGTCCTTTAAGGTTATTAGTTTGTGTTGTCTTCCTTTTTGTATTCTTTCTTTGTGTTTCCTTCACATGGAAATTCTTTTTGCAGTTCATTTGTTAGTAGACATTCTAAAATTAAGCAATGAAATTTGACAAACTTCTTATTTCCATTCTTTGCTTTCCAGTTTCTTCCTTGCATATTCCACATTCGGGATTCCAAATTGCAATTTGAATACTTCTTCTGATTGCAAATTTCTAGAGCCAAATTCAACAAATTTCCATGTCCCCAAACAGGGATGTAAATTTCAACTTCTTGCATTCCAAGCATTGGTAGCAATAGTGTCATGGTTTGATGAAACTAAATAAGTAAACACCCTTATATTTCAAGTTAGGAATTAGGTTTAATGATATTAAAATTCTTCTTCACAGCAAAATCGGCTCTGTTATCGTAATCATTCTAATCATTTTAAGGTGGTTGTGGGGATAATCATCTGGCAACAGGTCTCCATCCAGAAACAGACCCCCAACACTACCAAATGAGAAGGTGGAAAAAATATTACAGCTTGATCACAATAATGATTGAATTACAAGGCATGAGAACTGGTAATCGATTGCGTCCATATTAATACTGTGTTACTTTCGTTATTCTAAAGATGATTGGATGTCTAATAATGGGGTGGGAGGATATTTTTGGTAGGCATGGTTTAAGTAATTATGAACAGTCCAACAGAGACATTGAAATGACAATATACCACAAATGAGAAAATGTGTGGATACTTGTCAGTTCCATCACCAACCGAAAATGACCTGATTGACCTGAAAATGGTTTTCTCCTCAACCCTGAATTAAGAAGGGTTAGAGATTAATTGCTTAGTTCTCAAACTCCTCCTCTTCTATATGAATGTTTAAACATAAGATTTCTAATTTTAAATTTTAAGTTTTTTTTT